TTAGGTTGAATGTGTGTGTGTGTGTGTGTGTGTGTGTGTGTGTGTGTGTGTGTCTGAGAGAGTAAAAGAGATTTGTTGATGATTGATAGAGACAAAGGAGTGACCCAGCATGCTAACATGCACCCTGCCTCCTCCTCAATTTGAAGCACCCCATGGGTGACAACTGGTATGATCACCTTGACGTGACTACCATCTGTTCACATAGAGCCACAGCAGGATGCACCACTGCGAGGGGTAATATGAGAGAAGGAAACTGGAGGGGAACACATTTTTTGGTCACACACCAGTGCATATGAACAACAGTTTAACTTTATATTCGAACTCCACTGTCACTGTTTCAGTCTCAGCAAGTTGACAGAGGCTTTGATGTTTATTGGTTTGTCTGTGTGTCAACAGAATTATGCAAAAACAGCCAAGCTGAACATCTTAACATTCACCGGGTCACTCATGACATATATGGTAATCACTAGGATTTTCGGGGGGGGGGTTAATTCACATACTAAAGAATCATATTTATAGAAACTACAAGTTGTATAATTTAACCACTAGAGGACTAATGAAGGATTATCTTTTCATTGTTATAATAATGGAAAAGTAGGAAGCGAGCTTTGAATGCTGAGGGGTAATTTCAGTATTTACCCTCATCCATGAAAAGTGATTTAAGTGCCTCTGAATGTGGCATGGCTGTTGGTGCCAGACAGGCAGGTCTGAGTATTTCAGAAACTGCTGATCTACTGGGAAGCTTTACAGAGGATGGTATGAAAAAGATAAAATATTCCGTGAGCAGCAGTTCTCGGAGTAAAACTGCCAAGCTGACAGGAAAGCAACAGTAACTCAACTCAATTCATTACAACCAAAGTATGCAAAGAGCATCTTTACACATGCACACAAATGTTACAACTTGCACAGTCACTGCAACATTTAGATGGCATGAAAGCATGGATCCATCCCGCCTTGCATTGGATATTTTCTTGGCACACTTTGAGCATCATTTAAACACTATGTCCTTCCTAAGCATTGTTGCTGACTGCATTCATACCTCTGTCGCCACAGTGTACCCATTTTCTGATGGTTTCTTCCAGCAGGATAATGTGCCACATCACAAAGTTCATACATCGGATCTCATTCCACCTTTGTTATATAATGGAATGGGAGATTCACATTCTTGATGCGCAACTGACATATCTGCAGCATGTAATAGATGCTATAACGTCAGTATGAGCCAAAATCTCTGAGGAAAGCTTCCAGCACCTTGTTCGTCTAAACCATGAAGTATTAAGGCAAAAGGTCGAGGCCACTGAGATGAAGTGGATTTACACAGGCGTGTGCACAAACACACAAACAGATAAACAACTTTAGATTGTTAATCTGTGTCTGTGTGTTAAAGTAATATCTGCCCACGCTCACACACACACATGACAGTATGATGAAGAGACAGCAGTTTGATCGTGGACTTCTGTTCTGCCATCTCTGTGTCACAGTATTTTGCTCAATATATTTCATATCAAATTCTATGAGGCATAGCCCGCTCACGGCTTTATTATGTAAGGGAATTCTTCTCTCCCATTGCTGTGAATATTTATTGTATTTATACCGTCCCTTATTGTTCTACTGTAGTGTTATAAAGCCCATTCTTAGTCACACATCCCAAGGGGGGGCGCTGTGAACTCACTCTTTAATAAATCATAAACATGCTCTTTCACCTGACCCCATCGTTTTGTCCGGCGCCCTGATTAAAAACTATAATCATATTTAAACTACATAGCATGATCGCCTCTTTTTAAAACATCTTCCTCACTGGGCAGAGCCGTGGCGCGTTAGCCAATTAGTGTGAATATTGAGAATATAACGTGTTTCGATTTAACTAGACACAATTCTCCTGCTCAATCTTCTGTCAGTTTGAGCTTTTGTTTTGTACAAATTAGATTTTCTGTCCTGACAGTTGTGCAGCTTCAGCAGTTTAAAGGCGAGTGTTTCCAGATTCTTACCTTGCATCGTAGCTTTCCCAAGAGCCACGCAGAACCACAACACCGCAACCGCAAACTTCATCTTTCCTCCTGTCATCAACGAGACCGAGTGGATATTTCCACAGCGAAGATCAAATTATCTGACTGTTCATCCCTGCGTGCATCTCAGCAGCCAAGTGGGACCTCCGGAGTGTCACCGCCGTGATGTGCAGTTTAAATAATGAAGGACGGTCGGTTGTTGGTGGCTTTGTACAACACGCACCGCCTTCACGCTGCGAAACACCACCTTGTGTCGAATATGTGTGTGTGTGTATGTTTGTTTAGTTTTTTTCCTTGTCTTGGTTCTGTCGCCTGTTGGGTTTCTCTGCACCTTCTTTTCGTGCGTGTCCCGTCGCAGAGATGGATCCTGCCCGAGCCGAGATGGGCTGAGGGCGGGACAGAAGAGGGCTGGCTTGTCATACTGTGGGATGTAGGGGGGAGGACAGATCTGGTCCCCAATCAGAGAAAAAATAAAGAAATAAAAAATAAAATACATTTCTACGTGAGCAGTACTAGCCTCTATGATTAGGAAATTACATGCATGGTCTTATTATTAATGTTAAATATTCCAAAGTAGTGCAGCTCAGTGCAAACTCGTCAAATACGAATGATGCCACAAAAAAAAAGCATAATGAAAAAGAAGATTAAACTTGGCTGTGTTGTCTCCAGTTCAGAGTTACAGGTTGTTACATGTTTTATTCAGTGATGAGTGTGGTGGGGAGATGCCCGCTTGAATCTGTTACCCCACCACAAAGTGATGGCATGCTGCACGGACTGCACTTCATCGTCACTTACACGAATATTGCAAGTGTAAGAAAGAGCGGCGGTTTGCATATTCAACAAGTGAGGTAACTCTAAAAACGTTATATAAACCACAAAACTTGAAATAAACACCAAGTAGGTTGTTCCAGAGCTGAATTTCTAGTACATAAAATCCTGTTTGAGTTTTAACAGACAGTGTTTGCTTGCTAAGCCATGACAGGAATAGTACAACAAAGAAGGAATTTAATAATGAGAAGACTAACTTTAAAAGATACACGCTAAGATACACACCAGCTGCTGAAGCGACCCACTTTTTTTTCCCCCTTTCCTCAACCCTTCTGAAGTTACATGTTCACACAAGGAGCAAATAATTGTGATGGACCGCAGCACTTATTGCTATACTTGCAATAGTGCTGATGTGGTGAAGCACTTTGGTTTATGATTAATGGCTTAAGATAATCTTTCAGGAAGCAGTGACCTGTAAGTTTCCAAGAAGCGCATTACACAGTTTTATAGGTAGTGCATTATCATTACTCATCAGAGAGCGGAACTGATGCTTCATTCATTCGACTAGACAGAAAAAGACACTTACGCTATGCAAGCCATGTTATGTCCATATACATATGCATGCCGTGCTCCGACCTTTTTGGCTGGGTGTGGTTGTATAACACAAAGAAACCGAATCAATCATAATAATATAAATACACCGAGCAGGGGATGATAAAAGCATCCAGTGACTGGAACTATGCTGTAGACTGGCACATCACTTCCTGAAGCTAAATCTGATTAGAGGTTATAATGTATGTGGGCATTGTAGACCTTGATTAGAGTCTGAATCCACAAGGCTGAAGATGCTCGGGCAATTATTTTTATGTATTTTTTTTATTCCAAAGCTATCACCTTTCACTTATAAAAGGTAAAGTAGGAGAAAAGCACTTACTGCAGCACAATCTATCTAATTACTTGCAGTACAAGCTGAGCAGATGCGATGATCTAACTATTGATTTTTAAAATGTTCCATACAGTATTTGGATACTGAGAAATATCTATCGCCTTTAGTTATAATCACGTCACTACCAGTTGTCAGCAGTGTAACAGACAGAGAATTTGACCAATTGACAATGACCAGGCTTCCCAATCGGTCAAGCAACTTTACCCTTCTCATATGTAATATAAAATGCATCGTGTCACTGTTTAAAAAACAACTAGTAGAGAACAAATAGAGTGTGACGAATGGGGTTGATTTATTGAGGCACAACAGGCCAGCAGCCAGCCCATCTGACACAGAGCAGACAGTTCGGATTCATTTGCTTTGTGTCATTTATGCAGGCAATCAAATGAGCAGTTGGTTGACTCGTAAACAACTCATGGCGATTTAGTGAAGAAGATGGAATCCCACTCTCTCTGCTAATTAAGTTTGAGCGAACAGCAGCTGGAAGAAGAACTGTAAGGTGAATCATCCAGCACCTACACACAAACACACATGCAGGTCACATGCTTGAAAATCTGCCACTCGACTGCTTTTGTTGGCTTTGTGTGTCTCATTAAATGCCATCTTATGCCAGCACCTGATCACTGCTCTGGTGTTGCCAAGATTTGCCCGGGGGGACAGCCCAGCCTATCTGTCTCAAACACACATAGACAAACACATTCCTGTCAAGTAAGAAAAACCTTCATGTTTATCTAACACACAAACAACCTATGCCTCTTCTGTGTCGATGTAAACAAACTGAAAGCGGATGCTTTTAGAGTCTTGTTATCCAACGATGGTTGCAAATGTAGATTCTGGATGGACTTAAAATTGCAGACTACTTCAGTAATTAGTCTCATTCACTCCCAATCCAAGTTAATTAAGAAAATGAGTTCACATTAAGGTCATGAGTGCTGAGGGAAGGTCGGTAGAGCAGTTTGTGCCTTAATTATACAAGAAACTATCACAATTCGTGAGGATCTGGAATACACAGATGAATCCACAGTTTTTTTCTCTTCTTTTTTTCTCTCTGTCGCTTAATATCAGCTTTATATCTGTTGTTTCTATCTTCCCCTCTTTTGATGAGTAAATGAATGGTTGACTGTAGCAGAAAATCCATCACATTAAAAGATGGTATTCATCCCTGACTGCAATGCATTAAGTACATGTTTTTTTCTTATGAATGAGTATATCACTTTATGTTGCTTGACTACTAAGTCACCGTGGAATCAGTGCTGCCCTTTAAGCCAGAGGTAATAGACCAAAACTTAATGCAAGGCACGTATACCTGACTACTCACACTTACAGACAAATTCGCTAACAAATATCAATCCTCTTTGTCAAACTGGAGTCATTTTCACATCCATTTAGCAGCTTCGCTTTGGTGTGTGTTCAGTGACCTTTTCACTCCAAACAGCAAGAGAGTTAAAATAAGAACATTTGCCCCTGGCTGTGTACCCATGAGTTTCTTTCTTTATCTTTACATCGACAAAAAAAAAAGAAGAAAAAAAAAAAGCTCCTTCTAGAGTTTTGGTGCAAATATTGAATTTGCCCAAGAATTAAATTACCTTAGACTATGTTTTAGCTATAAGCTATTCTTTTTAGAGTTATTCCACATCATTAGCTAGCCTAATATCTGACCAAACAGGTTATAACAAGATTCATTTCACCTAAGCAAACTGGATCATTAAAACTAGAAATCTCTGTATGTCTCCTTTTTATATGTATTTTTTTTTTTATTTATTTATGCTTTTTTGTTTTATGGTAACTAATGTTTCATTCAATGTACATAAAACACAAAAGTCACATAATGAAGTCACTAAAGAGTGTGACAAATGAAATGGTTTTCAAATAGGCTTCCAAAGACCGTGACATCTCCTTTGTTGATGCCAACATGCCTCTGACTCATAGTAGCACTGGTATGGAAAAATCTGACCTGATGATGACTTCATGTTGCATGAGGTAATACCTAGAACTGCCCCACCTTTTCATTTTTTTTTTCATAAAACAGTAAATATTAAGGCCATTTCTTATTTTTATTTTCTACTTGTATTGCACTACATCACTAACAATTCATGCACATATAACTCTTTCTGTCTTGAGATTACGTATAGGGTTTCATCTTTGAAAATTGAACATGAGGTCTATATTCACCCACGGACACACAGACACACGGGGTAAAGAAGCATCCAAGTAAAAACTTAAGCAAAAGGGTGACTTTGAAAGGCTGGTGTACAATCTCACACGCCAGAAATTACCCAGTGTGGCTGAATGAATTGTGTTTCTAGGAAGTAGCGTTCCTCAGTAGCTATTGTTAATGGAGATAAAAATGAGACACAAAAAAGGATAGGAGGTGGGACATTAAGCGAAAGAACCAAATGGCTAATAAAGGGTGAGTTGTAAATATCAAAGAGAAATGTTCTGAGACATACTAAATCCATATTTTTTGTAATTCTATGGTCAGGTTGTGTATTGTGATGCCAGTTTAAATTCCCTGGTCTCAGAAATGTAAAACAGAATACTACATGGAAATTATTTTAATGACAGAGCAGCAATTGTCTGTTTCTCATGCAAAAGGTCTTGCCAGACCGAGTTTACAGAATAGATCTTAGATGCAAAAAAGGGACACAGTTTTTAAAGACCCAAACACTAAAACCACTTACAAAGTTCTTTAGTGCTAAAGACTCAGGGTTCCTGCAAGGGATGGTGGACTTAGTATGTTTGCACAGGAAGGCTCAGGTGCTTAAAATGAACAGGCTTTTCACTGGAAAAGTCTATTTGATAAGGAAAAAAAGAAAGGATGGAAGACACAAAGGTTTGGGTAGATTGGAAACCAGAATGTTGATTATGACAAAGCGATAGCTCCGATTTTCTGCCCCAGTTGCCGTGGCAGCCAGGAGCAGCTGCAGTAGCAGGAAAGCATTTGCTCTACCATTCCACTCCTTCATTCCCTGAGCCAGTCAATTATCAATGATATGGAAATGCAAGGAAAATCCTGCTGGGCCCACTGCCTGACACAAGCTGGGGCCACAGGAGGGGGAAGAAGTATACACACACAGAGAGAGAGAATAAAACAGGTTGTCTGGTTGGCCTATAGCTGATGTTAAAATCATGGACAGATTAGAAAGGGAAGAAAAAACGATCACAAATACACAGATGCACTCTCACACTTGCTTTTTTCCCTCATGAAGTAATCACATTATGTAGCATTCATTCCCTGGAGACTTGCACTAACATTAACCACACACCAATCCCGCATTAAAATCACCAACAGGTGAACCAAATACAGTAGCGTTGATTGACAGTAGCCTGCTCCTTGACAGTAGCACCTCTCAGGATATGTTATCTGACAGGTGACAATGAGTTCTTAAAAGAGATGAATCTAAAGAAAATGGTTAAGCGTAAAGATGAGAGTGATGTTTAACTGTGGTGGCCGCACGACTGAGACTATGTTTCACCAAAACAGCAGTTCTGTGAGGACCACTATTGTCATAGAACATTGTTATTTCCCAGGAACTCGTGTCATGCCACACGTATATGTGGAAAAGCACAATGGGTTGCAAAGCAGCTTGCAAATGTGCAGCTAAACAGAAGGCTGTAAATAGCACTGTTTGAATTGTTACAGTTTTACATGTAGAAGGCT